CAATGAGGAACAACTTCATACGTGTCATAATGGCTGTTATAAAAATGACAAAAAGACAGTCACAGTGGTACACACCTATAATCCTAGCACTTGGGGATGCTGAGGCAGGAAGATCACAAGTTTGAAAGCCCAGGCAAGTTAGTAGACTCTGTTTCAAAAAGTAAGAAAGGCTGGGGCTGGGGTTAGTATTAGACCATCCCTGAGTCTAATCTCTAGTACTGCCAAAACCAAAACCAAAACTCCAGCCAAGGGGTTGAGGAGATAGCTTGCAGGTCAAAGTGCCTGCCTGGCAATTGCAGGGTCCCATCCCTGGTACCACACCATGCAGGCCCCAAAACTGGGCACGGTGGCACACACCTGTAATCGCATTGCTGGGGAGGCTGAGACAGGAGGCTCACTATGAATCCAAGCTGGGTAGTAAGACCCTGTACCAAAAAGAATAAAAGTTGAAAACAAAGAAATAAACAAAAGACGACAAGTGTTGGTGAGGCTATGGAAAAAACAAAGTCCTTTTTCATGTTGGTAGGCATGTAAAGTAGGAACGTAGATATAAAGAAGAACCCCTGTATAGCGGTTCTTAAAAAAATTGTAGTTATAATTACCATCTGATCAGCAGTTTCCCCTGTACTTACCCAGAAGACTTGAATTTAGTATGTTAAAGAGATGTCTGCCCTTCCATTTTCATTGCAGCACTATTCTCACTGTGTAGATTCAACTTTGGTGTCTGTGAGCAGACGGTGGGTGAAGAGTGTGGTGTGCATATGCAGCGGGATACTCTTCAGCCTTGAAAAAGAATCTGCTGTTGATGATGATGGATGAAACTGGCGGTCGTTTTGCTAAGAGAAGGCACGGAGGACAAACACTGCCTGTTCTCGCTGATATACAGACTCTAAAACAAGCAGAAGGTAGAGTAGAGCTCTCTGAGAATAGGGGTGTGCAGTAGCAGCAGCAGTGAGTGCCAAAGGTAGAAAGCTTCAGCTAGGAGACAAGTTTTCCCCTGTAATATGTGCGGCACTGTGTGGTTCATGTAGTAAGTTTGAACGCATTGTCCATTTCTCAGTTTCTGAGTGGATTTCATGTTTTCACCACATAAAATGAGGTGAGTGATGGATGTGTTATCTTGATTAAGATACTTGACATGGTACATACGTTAAAAAAGCAGCATCTTGTGCCCCATAAATAGTACTATAGTTAGCTCATAATAAAGATGGAAATAAAAAGGATTTATTTTATTGTTTACATTGGGCTTGTTTGCTTGTTTACTTAGGACTCTAAGGTGGTGGAGCCCTAGCAGCCTGCTAATGGCCCCCACATACTACAGTTTTTCTAAGTTAAAGGTTAAAAACTAATAATAAAAGGCACAATTCCACTTCATATACGTATCATGAAAATTCTATCCATTTTCTTCAGAAACTTTAGTGTATTTTTTTTTTTTTTTTTCTTTTTTTGTCTTTTTGAGACAGGGTTTCAAGTGCAATTCAAGCTGGCCTTGAACTCTAGCCCAGGCTGGCCTCAGTCTTGAGGTAATCCTCCTGCCTCAGCATCCTGAGGGCAGGGGTTTACAGGTATGTGCCACCATACCTGGCTGATAGGAATACTTGTTTTATTTTTGTTTTTCTTGTTCTGAGTGCAAGTCACAGGAGTAATGTGTAGTAATGTGCATGGGAAAGACGAATTCTGTGTTTTCCACACCAAGTTACCACGCTTGTGTAGTGCAACTCTCGTCTTCAATGTCTTAGATATGCAGAGTCATAAAGAGGTTGGGAGAATAGACTAGAGACTGGATTTTAGATGAAAGCAGGACTCGAGATTGGATGAGGTTGTGTATCTGGTAAGGAATAAAGAATGGTAGCTGAAGATAAAATGAAATGTTCTGCTGTTTGAGCTTGATGACAGTAATTTTGTCACTAGTGTCTGATATATCAGAGTGGTAAAGAGAACAACTTTGAGTCAGATCAGGAAGTAGTCATTTGAGATTTGAGGGTGCAATGCATGTATAGAGTTGCAGCAGTATACAGTGGGACTGGAGAAGGACTAAGGTAAGTTAGTAAGGGCCGGCTCTAGCTCCTGCCACAGCTCCTGCCTGGCAAACACACAGTCGCGAGTTCAGGTACCAAAAACATGGAAGTAGAGCACAGACGTTTAAAACATTGTGAAAGATAAGAAAGCTGGAGTAAGAAAAATAGTAGTAAGGTTAAGTGGTAGTTTTTCCCATTGCAGATTGATTCAGTGTGATTAAAACAATGGAGAAAATGATAGTGAAGTATTATGTTTTAGCAGGGTAAAATTAATACTAGGAATGCAAAACTCCTGAAATTCAAGAAAGCTAAAGTCAATTTTTATTAGACACATAAAAGTTTTAGTAGTTGTCTTTAGAGGAGTTAACAGTTCGACAGATTAGCCACAAGATTAAAAATTAGGCCACTATTTTTGAGTTCTCAACATATGCATAGAGTGAGTTTAGTTTAGGAATACATAGAAATGGATTGCTAAAGCCAGGCATAGTGGTGCATTCTTGTAATCCTAGCACTTAGGAAACGGAGGCAGAACGATTGCTGTGAGTTTTAGAACATACAGAATTCTATGTAGAAATATGTTTACATTGAGAGTTAAATAATTGCTGCTCAGGAGATATTTCGGGATATTTACTTATTGAGATACTTATTGAGAGTACTGTTATAATTATAAGAAGATACTTTTTGTTTTTTGAGAACAGGGTTTCACTGTGTAGTGCAGGCTGACCTTGATCTCTAGGCCAGGCTGGCCCTGAACTGTGACAATTCTGCTTCAGCTTTCCAAGTGCTGGTATTAGAGGTGTGTACCACCATGCCCGGTGAGAATATACAAGGGAAAGATGAGAAGAAATATTGCCTGGAAAAGTTACGAAAAACATGTAGTAGATCAAATACAGTTCTTAAACTACAGGCACTGAGTCCTTATTATGAATCTTGGATATTAGGCTGGGTGTGGTGGTGCATGCCTGTGATCCCATCACTTCGGAGGCTGAGGCAGGAGGATCATTTGGAGTTCAAGACCACCCTTGGCTACAAAGTGAGCTCACGATCAGTCTGAATTGCATAGTGAGACCCTGTCTCAAAAAGACAAAAAAAATCTTGAATATTGAACCCATGGAACTTTGTATATGTGGTAGAAATTATTACATAATTATTTTGCATTTTGTCTGGCACTATATAATGCTTTACATAAATTACAGTTTAAAAGTAGGCATGGCAGTGCATGTCTGTATTCCCAGACAGAGGGAGGCTGAAGGAAGAGGATGATAAGCTGAAGTCCAGCCTGTGCACTTGTAGCAACTTGGTGGGACCCTGTCTCAAAAAGGATTAATGTGTTGTTTGGGTTGGTGAAAAGAATTAGAAGAGTAGTCTAGAGTAGGAGTAGGTCTGCAAAGACCTGCTTAAGCATGGCTTGGGGCTGTGGCTGAGGAGTGGAGTAATGGAGTGATCCAAATATGCAAGGGCTCTGAGTTTAATCCCTAGAATCCGTGTGCGTAGGAGGCAGTTTGAAAAATAAGCTTCATTGGAAATTTGTATTAAATGTTTTTTCTTTTAATATTTTTTCTTAAATGTAGAGCTAAGGCTGGCCATGATGGCACATGCCTGGAACCCTGTACTGGGGAGGCTGAGGTAGGAGGGTCATTGCAAGTTGGAGCACAGCCTGAACTACACAGTGGGATCCTGTCACAAACATGGTTTAAACTCATGTTTATTGAATTTCTAAAATTTACTACCTAGCTAGTAACTTTAAACATCTTTATGTAACAAGTTACATACTGTTTCATTACAGAAAAATGTTAGTGTTGTTCCCCCTTGGGGAAAACCTCCAGGGTAGTGAATTCAAGTTAAGCATGTCATGGAAGGCCCTTGTGCTTTGAAGTGAGACTGACCTGGTTTTCTGCCATTTGTTTAATGTGTAACAGTGAAAATCACTATGGAAACAAGCTTAGAGGAGTTATCCAGAAGTGGGGACATTTGCCTCTGTATGTGAAATGCCTAGTGCATCTTTATGAGATACTTTTCAATAAACATTTAGTAATTTCTTGCAGCGTTAGTCAAGTGAGAAGCCTTCTGGAAAACTACTGAAACTCTTGAAAACATTTAAAGTAGTTACATTAATAGCCAAGTAGATTATTAATGAAGAGGCTAATAGAAAAACAGGAAAAGGACAAGTGTCCTTGTGTAGGGTTCCTACTGCATAGAACAGAGTTGTAGGAAAAATGTTTGCACTGTTAGTTGTGCTTGGGGTTCAAGAGTTTTAATAAGTTTCACTTTAGATTTAACATGATACTGATTTAATTTTGAGGGACCCTATTTCCTATTGAAGAAATCACAGGAATAATCTGATTATCTTAAATCAAGGCTAATTCTACATGACTTAATCTGTTTCCTAGTTGAATACAATGTACAGTTTAATGCTTTTAGGTGACAAGATATAAGAAGGAAAAAAACTATAGAACATGATCAGGAAATGTCACCTTTTAAAACTTAGTTATGTTAACCCATAATTATAAGAAATTGTACTTTTTTTGTAGTTTTAATAAAAAGTAAAAATGAATGATGTTATCATTAGTGGATCTGATTTTTATAATGTACTTTGTAGGACAGCACATTATCATTCCGAGGAAAGTTTTGCATTAAACAATAACATATTTTTGCCTAAATTCAGAAGTCTTACTTTTAGTACATTAACGAGAGAATTCATAATCAAAGCTGAAGCTTTTCTTTTTATTGCCATATATTTCTAACTACATTTTGTTTTTGCCTTACCAGGGATTGAAGTCAGGCCCCTGCACTTGCCAGGCAAGTACTTACTCTACTGAGCCATCTCCCCAGCCCCTGAAGTTTGTATTTTAAACTATGGTTATAAATTTTATAGGAAAATCTTACAGGTTAAATCGTACATTAATTTCTTTGGTTTAATTCTCTACAATGTAAATAGTATTTTTATTCTGACAAAAACAAACTGAACTGAGTCCTTTTCTGTACATTTCTAAAGAACTCACTTGTAATGAGCAAATATTTAATTTCACATAGTTAGGAATTCATATTATTAAAACTTGTAATTTTTTTCTCTATATGCCAATCTTCTCGATGTGTTTCAGGAAACTTGCAGTTAAACTCTACATCAAGATAGTATCTTGACTTTAGCATTAAAGATATCTTCAAGTAAACGCCTTGCCTTTGTGCACTGAAGTTACTGAGGACTGAAAGCCCTGCTTGTTTGGCAACCTCAGTTCCTAGGGCTCATTCATATGCAGCTGAGGGTCTGCTTTTCTTCTAAACGCTCCTTTACTAACTTTTCCAAAGAGAAGAGGTGCTCATCGGCATCTTCTGGCACAAGGCTTCTAAGAGAATTTGCAAGTTCGAAGAGGTATTCCGTATTTCTTCCACTTGGACCAGCTGCGTTAAAAATTTGTTCAGCAATGTCTTCCAGAGGCGCGGGACCAAGATAATTAGGGTTATCACATGTTCCAATATATAGCAGCACGCTGAATGGTTTCATTGTGGGATCTTTTGGATAAAAAATGACGGTTATGGTTCGGTAGCCTCCTTTCTCTCTGAAGTCAAGGGATGCTTTTACTTCTTCTTCTTTTCCTGCTGGGAGTTTATAAGCCACACCCCATACACATCCCTGTTAAAAAATAAGAATTATTTAGTATTTATAAGGCTAATGAAAATAGTGAGGGGCCAGGGAGATGGCTCAGTAGAATAAGCGCTTGCCTGGCAAGCACAAGGGCCTGAGTTCAATCCCCAGTTCCGCCAAAAAAAAAAAAAAAAAAAAAAGTGAAAAAAATCTAGCCTTACAAGTCAATGCAGTTTTGCCTCACTTAAAAATGCACTGAGGACGTACATACTAAATAGTAAAGGAAACCATTAAAAATTGTTATTCTTGAGTTATATTTTGTCACAAGTACGTGTTTATCTTTCAGAAAAATTGTAAATTACTGTCGGGTATCACCACATGACTCACATCCTAGAACGTGAGAGACTGAGGCACATTGTAAGTTTGAGGCCAGCCTGGGCTGTTGATAGCAAGTTCAGAGCTAGCCTGGGCTGTGGGGTAAGACGTTGTCCCACAAAACAGAACAGTGACAACAAAAAGCTAAAGTAGTGAGGCAGAAAAGGAAAAAATATTGGTCATTAGGAAATTGTGTAGAAGCAAACAAAAAGTGGAAGAAATTCTACACTGTCATTTGTTTAACTCTGAGTAGGAGTTGTAGTAACCAATTTGAAGCTATGAAAGCACTTCTTCATATAAACCATTCTGTTATTGCTAGCTGCTTGATTTCTGTGTATCGAAGTCCTGAACAAAGTTACATCTTTAATTTCATAATATAAAAATTTAAAGCTGTACTGTAGTAAAACGATTAAAGATATTTAAGAAACTAAGAGCCAGGGATAGTGGTGCACAAAATTCCAGCACTTTTCTATTTGTCTTTTTTTTTAAATTTTAGGACAGCGCCTACAGGGTCTGCAGGGTCTCACTGTGTAGATCAGACTTGTGATCCTCCCATTTACAGCCTCCCAAGTGCTGGGATTACAGGTGAGCGCCACTATGCCCAGTCTCAATCATCCTCTCAGGGCACCCAGCTCAGCAGGCCAGGGGATAGAATTAGCTGGCTCCCAATTCCAGTACTTTGGGTGCCTGAGGCAGGAGGATCCCAAGTTTGAGTTCAGTCGGGGCAATTTAGTGCCATCCTGTCTTTTTTTTTTTTTCCAAGACAGGGTCTTCCTATGTGTCTTAAGCTGGCCTTGAATTCAAATGGATCCTCTTGCCTCAGCCTCCTGAGTGCTGGGTTATAGGTGTGCCCCTCCATGCCCAGCTGATAAGACCCTACTTTAAAGTAAAAAAGGGCTGAGGGGGTAACTTATTTGAATGGTGTGGGTTGAATATCCAGTGATGAGCCCACAGAAACGAAACAAAACAGAACAAAACCACTCTCCCGCCAGGACTGTTAGTTATGTTTCCTGGTGCTTCATAACTGTTTAAAAAACAAGTTCTATTAATAAAACTAGGCAATACAGAAAGTGAGCATTCTTGACTTTAGTTTTATATTGAGAATATTAGATTTCTGCAAATGTGAAGGGAGTATTCAGGGATCCATTTGATCCTTCATGGTAGCCTGGTTATCTAGGGGCTACTTCCATTAATGTCAAAGGGGACCACAAAATTCTCAGTCAGCAAACTGCTTTTTAAAAGTCTTATAAAAGCAAGAGAACATGTTATTTAGCTGTTATCACCTTGCACTTTGCATTCTGACTTTTCCCACTAGTTCATTTTCCACAAACAAGGTGGGGGTGGACGGGGGTGGGGGGAGACCCTCAACACATCCAGAAAGGAGCTGTAGAAATTGTTCGATGACTATTAATAAAAATTTCAGGGCCAGAGAGCTAGGTCAGCAGCATACGTAAGTGCCTGCCTGGCAAGCGCAAGGTCTTGAGTTCAATCCCTGGTACCAAATAAATAAATACAAAATTTCATAGATTATTAAAATGAAGTTCTATCTCAACATTTCATATAATTAAAGACTATATTAAAAGGAATAGTTATACCATACCCCAGGATCTTCAACAAGAGTCACAACTCTTCCAGGCTGGTTAAAAAAAGACAAACATAATTTTTTTTTCTGAAATAAAGTTCATTAAATGAGCATTATGACTTAGTATTTGCATGGAATATTTTAACTACATTTTCTCTAAAAGGCACTTTAAAATGAATTAAGAGAATCTTCCTTATCCAAATGACAGCAGTCTTTCCAGAACACGTTTGCATCATCATCTATAAACTGGACATACCATGTCCTTTAAAGTTGGTATATTACAAATGCAGCAGAGACCAAGGCTCAGGTAAAGTGACGGCAGACATTAGAAGCATCAGCTTTCCGATTCTAGTCGTCGTTTTGGCGGGAAGACTGTTAACAATTTCATTTGAAAAAAAACTGTAGAGTGTGTTCCTATAAGGAAGTGGCTTTCAAACGTTAAGATCAGATTACTTGGAGGATTTGATAAACATACACTGGTACCTCCAGTTTGAGTTTTAGGTCTGGAGCCTGTGAAGGTGCACTGGTCATAATACGTTACACTCTTTTGGAGTTTACATTGAAACCCTTAGACAAAATCCAGGAGTGGAACATTCCGTAACTTAAGTCATAAAGGTGACTGAAACCAGTGATTCCCACCTACTTTATTAAATTACTAGTAAGGAAGTTGAGTTGCAATTTCACCTACTTAATGCCCAAAGTCTGCACAGGAAGCCCACCTCATTCAGATAGTTTGTGTCATCTTGGCATTATTTCTTTTTTGTCTTCTTTTGTATAAATAACAAATCACTGATCTTGAAGTCTGCCTTTAGAAATCTGGTTTCTCTTTATTCTTTACTGACCTCGTTAGATTCCTCTGCCTGCCTCTTGTTTTCCCTCCAGTCTGTCTGTTCTCTCCTTGGGCCCATAATGACTACCTTAGAATTTTTCAAGGTTGTGGTATTCTAAAAGATAGAGTTGAAATTCATTAGGTTTAAGTTACACCAAATAACCCATTTCTTTCTACAAACCTCATTCCTTTCCATTTACCCCAAAGATGTACTGAATTATTTACTAAATAGTTCTTAGCAATACTCCTAACTTCATTGGGCACAGTATTGAACACTTGTAATCCCAGCACCAGAGAGGCGGAGGCAGGAGGATCACTGCAAGTTGGAGGCTGGACTGGACTACATAGCAAGACCCTGTCTTCAAAACAAACAAAAGCTGGGCATGGTGGCACACCAGCATTCGGGAGACAGGAGGATGGCTGGGCTACAAAATGAGCTCAAGGCCAGCCTGAGCTGCATAGCAGGACCGGGCTCAAAACAAAAACAGAAACCCCCAACCAACCAAAAAAGAAATACATTCCTATCGTTAAATACACTAGTGCCCATCACTTGCCCACTTCTTCAGTTTTGGCTCACTCCTGAGGCCCAGTTAGAAATCCTCACCTTTCACCTTTCCCTTTATTCATTTCTCTTCTAGTGCTGGCCAAGTAATTTTGTTGGTATAGTTGTCTCCTCCCTATGTGCTTTATTGAGTTGTTGAAAGGAAGAAGGCAGGTAGTGAAGTCTTGGACTTGGGTGGGGCAGATGGAATGAAACAAGGAATATGTGGGGAATTACTTTAAGTGGAAAAAACTGAAAGCTTTGCTAGCTTGCTAATGGTTGATAAAGACATGGAGTACTAATAAATTTAGTTGGAAGTGTTTTGTAAAACTTCCAACTCTTTGTCCTTAAACATAGATGTTACTGAGAAACAATGTAAATGTGTCAGTGCACTTCAATTTTTTTGTGGGGGCAGCAGTGAAACTGAAGGGCTTGTTCAAACACTGGTGTTACAGGAGGAAGGAAAGCAGGACTCATGATGGGGGTATCATTGGGCACTTAGTAATGGTTCTGCTCTCTTGTGTCTTGTACTTCCTATTTTGAATTTGTGATATATTTGTGCAAAAAGTTTTCATATTTAAATAAAATCCTTATTTTGGTGAGAAACTGGCAATTTTGTGACATGTGAGATACTTGAAGTTGCAAAGCAAATATAATTTAATCATGTAGCTTCCGTTTTTTCCCCTTACAGATGTCTTCTTACACTATGTGAAAAGGAATACAATATTTATATAGTATGGATGAGGCCTTTCTGATGACTCATTTGAGTGTATGTTGCTGTAAATAACTGAACCATATCTAAGCAGTATTTTTATTTGCTGGATATTTCTGTAGCCTCTTGTATTTTTGTCTGAGAGCTACTGTATACATAAAGCTGGCAATATTTTAATAAAAACAGGTATAAACATTTGATATCATTTCTAGTTGGTTTTTTTTTTTTAACAGAACCCTATACTTGCAAAATGTGTGGTATTAGCTTTTTATTTAGTTTGCTAAGATGCAGTCTTGGGCTGGGGAGATGGCTCAGTGGAATAAGTGCTTCCCTGGCAAGCACAAGGGCCTGAGTTCAATCCCCGATTCTGCCCCCCCAAATAATAATAATTCCTAAGACGGAGTCTTTAAAAATGTAAAGCTGTTAGCAGGAGGCACCCCCCCCCTTCAATATATTCATGTACAACGGGATACTGGCTTTTATAGATCTTTTAAAGACTCTTGCATTGTTGTATTAGATAACTTAATTAGATAACATTTTGGGTAAGCCTAGTAGAGTAAAATAAACTATTACAACCTTATATACATATTTAATATCAGTGGTTGGTCATGAAAGTGGCAGCCTGAGGTAAGTCTTCTTCAGAATGGCAGTTGTAAGTGTTCATTTAAAAACTGACAGCTGGAAAGGGCTCTTAGGTGGCCATTTCTTGAGTGCCGCTTGTGCGTGGAGGTGGCTGGCCCGCTGTTCCTCCGCGGGTGGGCCTGAGCCTGCGCCTCGGCCCGCCCAGGCCGCCCGCCCGCCCGTCCATTCCTCCGTCTGTCCGCCCGCCTTCCCTAGCCCGGGGTCGCTGGCCGTCGCCATGCCCACCCGGCCAGCTGCAGTACCTTCGGTTCTCTGTGACCTCAAATCTCGTGTCTTAAGTGTAGCTGCAAGTTACTCTAACATCTTTATCTCTTCCCCGTCCAGTGTTACAGAAAACCCAAGAGCTCCACTAACTTTGTTAGTCCTTGATAATCAGGATTATCAGTGTTACTTTAATCAGCCGGAGATAAATCTGGAAAATAGTTCCGTGATCCTAGGAGTCACAGAATCGTTGGACAACCCTAGCATGCAGCTTAACCTCAGGCCACTGTTAGCAGAATGGACACCCAGTTGCCAAGGCGCTGAATTGCAAGGTCATTTCATCATTTCCCCTGCTATCTTGGTGGCAAGAAAATTAGCTTGCCCCAAGTTCACGTCTCCGGCTCGTCAGACCTGTGTGCGCTCGTGCGGTGCCTTCTGCGCCCCAAGAAACGAACCATCAGCCCCGGAGGCGGCGCGGCCTCCTGCACCCCACCTGCTTGCTCACCTTGCCCGGGACGCCTCGGTGGTCCGTGCTCCCCTGCCAGAAGCGCCGGCTGTAGTCCGTGATGTAGCCGACCAGCCTGTCCTGGTAGGGGAAGTCCACCTTCCAGATCAGGGACCCGTACCCGAACACCCACATCCTCCCGGCTCGGCGGCGGTGGCGGTGGCGGCGGCGGCGGCCCGGCCACCTGCCTCCGGTCCGCCCGACGGCCGGAGCGTGCGCTGGGCCGCGGGGACGCGCACCCGGGGCCGCTGTGCGCAGGCGCGGCGCGCGGCCTGCCGGGCAGGCAGGGCTGGGCCGTCCTTGAGGAGCCCCGGGCTTCAGGGAGCTGGCGCGTGGAGTGCGCGGCCCCTCTGCCGTCAGTGGTCCCGGCCTCGGAGGGTCGGGGGCGTGGCCGGCGGGAGCGCGGGCCGACCTGACTCGGTGGACTGCAACTACCTGCCGCGGCGGTGCTCTGCGAGGTGCCCCAGTTTACGGAGCTGTTACGGGAAGCCGTGGGCCAGCCAGAGCTTAGCCCGCTAAACCCTATGCGCCTTTGGTTTTCCTGCAGCCTCTGCAGGAAGGAGCACGCAGGGGCCACGGGAGCTTTAGAAGCAAGCTCGGCGGGCAGGCGAGCTTTCTCCCCGGGCCGCACCCCGCCTCCCCAGCTCGTTTCTTTTGACCTCTCCTCCTTTAAAGCTCAAAGATGTTCCCAGTTCCACTACTTGTTCCATCTGGTTATTGTCTATTCTGAGTTTGGTAACATTATTTGTAACCAAGAGAAAAGGCGGTACAATTGGGCAGAGGAATCACTTTTACAGAAATAGTGTTTTTAAGAAAAGTGGTTTTCTTAAAACACATGTGTTTAATTTATCCAGGAAAGTTAAAAAGAGAAAAAATAACACTGCCCGTGGTAAAATCAAACTTAATGATGTCACTTGTAAAGGTAATGCCTCAAGTACAGAAGGCTGATTCTCAGAAGGCCAAACAGCTGGTGCTAGCTCTAAACGCTATAAAGTAACTGGCCTGTGACTAAAGAGGGTGAAAACAGTCATGCACTAAGTGTACTGCCTACGTAGGCAAGAGTTGTCTTGCATTAGAACATACTTAAAATTGCCTTAAAGTGTGTGTTTTGTAGAACTTACATGTAATTGTCTTGGGTAGAGGTTATCATGGCTCAAAAAATTATAAACATTCAAGACGCTCTGAAATTTGGCTTTTAGCTCCTCGTGAATCTGACTTTTTTGCTGTTCCTTGTTTACCTGGTCCTTCCGACAGATGAACTGTTTTGTACTCCCTGCCCTTACTCCCCATTCATATCTATCTGCAGCTCTTGGGTATGGCTTTCTTCCAGTCCAGAATGAGCTTCTGCTCATAGTGCCAGGTTTGAATTTTCCCTAAGGTAGAAGTCGTGCTGCCTCTCACAGAAGCAGATCCTCTGATTTCTGTGACCTTTAGTATATACTTCCCTTATGGCACCTTGCTTTTACCTTGAATTATGCATACTTATCATTCCCATGATTAACAGAGATGGCGTCTGTGGCAGTGTCATCTTCATATATTCCCCAATACTGACCGTCTAGTGGTGCTTCATAAGTAACTGCTGATGCACAAGGCTTACTGCATGACTGTTTTCACCCTCTAGTCACAGGCCAGCTACTTTGTAGTGTTTAGAGCTAGCACCAGCTGTTCGGCAGCCTTCATACTTGAGGCATTACCTTTACAAGTGACATCATTAAGTTTGATTTTACTGTGGGCAGAGTTACATTCTTTTCTTTTTCTTTTTCTTTTTTTTTAACTTGCCTGGATAAACATTTGTGGAATACTTCCCACTTATATTGGGATGGACATCTTGGCATTTCCAGAACTACCTCCTAGTATGAGTAGAAAAAGTCAAAAGCAGTATTGCTATATTATTTTGGAAGATTTTTAAAATTTTATTTCAAAGAGAGAAAAACAGTAAAAATGATACAGAATTTCAAAACAAGACAGTAGGAAATTAATAATGGTTAATGTATTGCAAGGATTGGTATATTACTGAGAAAGACTCTGTTAGATAATTATTTCCCTGGGAATCCATATCTCAGCCCAACCTATTCCATAATGTCGCAACTACCAGCCTGTTCCATAGTGTCACTAACTATCTTGGTGCGAGTTCTGCACAGAGCGCTGTCTTGCACCCTCGCTGCATAATTGGAAGGGTGCGTTGCGGGGAGGTGATGATGGCAGGAATGCTGTAAATAACTCTTTGGGCTACTTAGGAAAGCGGGGCTCATCACTGGCTGCTCTTTGTCGGTTTCAGTATGCAGTCAGTGGGACTGTCATTAAGGGTGGATAGTGTTGTCTTTCTGGAGGGACCACCCAGGGCCAGAAAGCTAGAATGACTACTTACTTGGCAATAAACATCCATTCCTCTTTTTTGACCTTTTAGGCTTCTTACAGAGGGCTGTACATAGAAATAGGGCTGGGAAGAGCCTCACAGACAGTTCTAGAGTAGCAAAGAACATTTAAAATTCCCTTGTTATTTTTAATCTTTTTATTCAATACAGGATCTCACTACACAGCTTGGACTCATAGTGATTTTCCTGTCTCAGCTTCCCCATCGCTGGGATTACAGGTGTGTGCCACCACACCCATTTGTTTTGGCTGGCTCCGAATGCCCTCAGGGCAGGTTTGGCTGGCTTGAGTTGTGGGGATGAACCACAGCAACCTGAGCCTGACTGCTTTGTTGAAGCAGCCACTTAAAGAACTGAGCTAAGGGGTAGGCCCCCTACACCTGGTTTTGGGGCTGGCACTATGTGCCAGGGGTTCCAGGGCTGGCAGGGCATGAGGTACCAGGGTTTGACCCTAAGTCTTTGTGCTTGCCAGGCAGGTGCTTAGACCACCAAACTATTTCCCCATCCCCTAGAATTTCCTTTTTAAAAATAAAAACATTCCAGGAAGTACTGATCTGACCGACTTCTTGGCTTAGGCTGTTAAGGTAGGAGAGCCTATTTCCCTGCAATAATGGGAGAGATACTGCCTGGGCCCCACTGTAATGTGCGCATCTCTAGGCACGCCCTGTTTTATTGACTATAACGTTATGTTTTTACCTTGTTTTGTAGACTGCTCAAACAAAAATCATGGATTTTACAGAGGCTTACTCAGATACATGCTCTACAGTTGGACTTGCTGCCAGGCAGGGCAATGTGAAACTCTTAAGGAAACTCCTCAAAAAGGGCCGAAGCATTGATGTTGCTGATAACCGGGGATGGATGCCAATTCATGAAGCAGCTTATCATAACTCAATAGAATGTTTGCGGATATTAATTCGTGCAGGTAAAGTAAATTCAGGGTATTGGAGGGTGTGCCTGTTAGCAGGTAAACAAAACATAAGCTGGTAATACATGACAGTATATGTGTTTTTGTACCAGCTATCAAACTTGGGGCCTCATACTTGCCAGGCAGGCACTTTACCACTGAGCTACGTTTGCTGCCCTGTTTTTTATTTATTTATTTATTTATTTATTTAAGTATGTATTTATTTATTTATTTGTTGAGACAGGGTTTCACTCCATGAACTATGTGGCCCACTGTGGCCTCAAACTCTTGACAATCCTCCTGCTGAAGCCTAAGCACTGGGATGGATTACAGGTATGCACGTGTAACAACATGGTTCTATTTATTTTTATTCCTGTAATCCTAAGGTAACTGCCTTAACATTTAAGGGTAGTAAGGGTGCCTGTCTTAGATTTGTTCTAGCTGGTCATCTATAAACACTGTTCTTTATGTTGGAAGTGCTTGTGGCTGGCTTATTGTGATCATGATCGACTGCCGCCTAGGTGATGAGGCTGAAGTAGTCTTCTATTTTAGCTGAAGCATTTACTGGTTATATTTGTTTTTCCTTTTCCAAATAAAAGTATCCATGCTGTTGAAGTTGAGGTTGAGCGTTTTGTGTGGATTAGTCTTTCAAAATATTTTTTAAGCCAAATATGGTGCTCTATACCTGTAATCCTAGCATGTGGGAGGCTGAGGCAGGAGGATTGATTACTATGAGTTCAAGGCCAGCCTGGAGTACCCAGTGAGATCCTGTCTCAAACAACAAAAACAAAAATAAAAGCAAAAACGCAAACCTCCCTCCAAAACCACCAGAAAACAAATTTTCAGTTTCCTTGATTTTGAGAAACTTTCTAACTTTTGGACTTTGTATTTCCAGAGGGTAGACTGTGGGTCAAAGTGCCTGCTTTTGTAGTGCTTGTACGCCTGTCAGGAGAGTCTGACAGCCAATAGCTGGACAGGTTAGCAAGGTTATTTCCAAAGGAGAAGTGTGGGGAGAGTGTTGCTGTCGTGGGCCACAGTGTTGTGCTGTGCTACTGCATGAGTCACTAAGCTTTGCCCTTGGGAACTATTCACAGCAGATGCCCTGCTGGTATCAGAGTCAGCCAGCACCAACAGTGAGAGTCCATGGCGTGGGACAGGCCTGGTCTGGAGGAGAGATTCTGACCCTCAGAGAAAGTGGGTGGGAAAACACCGAAGGTGATGGAGCCCTGCTCCACATGTAACACTGCACATGCTGGATGGCTGATGCAGTGTTGACATTATTTTTTAGAACCTTATTCTTATTTATTTGATTACAGGGCCTTGCTATGCAGCTTGCAGGCATGACATGTGGTACTGAGGATCAAACCGAGGTCCTTGTGCTTAGCAGGCAGGTGCTTAGACCACCAAGCTATCTTCCCAGCTCCTGTTGCAGTGTTTAGCTAGTACACATAGAACTGTTGCAGACTGTGAGATACTTTTTTTTTTCCCCTTGGTACAGGGACTCACTACACAGTTCAGACTTGCAGTGATTCTCCTGTTTTTTAGCTTCCCCAGTGCTGGGATTACAGGCGTGCACTGTCACGCTTGGACTCCATTATGCCCAAACTCGGTGGCCAGCTCAGCTCACCCAGGGATGGGGCCAGCATGGCACATGGTGCAGGGGATCAAACCCCAGTCCTTGTGCTTGCCTAGGCAGGAACTTAGTCTGCTGAGCTATCTTGCTGGCCCTGAGACTGTGAGATACTTATCCTCACTTGATGATGAAAAGTGACAGACTCAGAGAAGTTGATTTGTCAGAGGCAAATAGTGACCTTGACTGTGAGGGTGAACCTATCTATCAGAGGTTTCAGTAACAAACAGCCTGCTGCAACATGCATGATCCAGGTTCACTACCACTAAGTGGATATCTGAGTTGAACCCATCTCCTTGACTCCCAAGCTTTGGTCTCTTTTTCTGCCACACCATGTTTCTGACATTTAACTGAAGTAAGCATTATAACATTTGGTTAGTTTAAATTGAGGTTGAACATACGTGTCATGTTGTGATGCTCATTGAACACTGACTACACCGATGTGGGGTGCACATTGTCCTTTGTGTACTCATAGCTTAGGTCCATAGCTTTCTGAGTAACTGTCTCACTGCCTTACATGGTTTTGGATAATGATTTTTTGCTTTCCTTTTTTTTCCTAAACTAGAAAAAATATACAAGTTATTTTTCCTTGGTGGTGCTAGGGGTTGAACCTAAGGAGTTGCACAGCTAGGCAAACCCTCTACCCCTGAACCATACCACGATCCCCTCCTCCAGCAGATGAGGAGTGGAAAGGTTAAGCTCCCCAAAATATAGTGCAGGACGTTTGTTATGACTGCTTTAAAAAAGATAGTAGGGAAGAGTCCTTCTGCTTCAGATTTCAAAAGCTTAAGATGTGTTTGTGGACTCTGAAGTTGACTGTAAGTTTTATGGTTGAGTTCTCAGGCTAACACTAGTGGCAAAGACATGATTTTGTATGTTCATTTGTTAGTCTGAAAGCACATTCTGATAGCCTTGCTGAGTGATCCAAGGCATGCTTTTAAATGAAAGTGTTTGAAGTGGTTCAAAGTCATCTGCATTTCCTTTGGAAATTTTAAATATGGTCTTAGCATTAATGACTATTCTTGTTTTGAGCTTGCTGCTTTTGGAGGATAAACTATAGCCACACAGAGCTAGCTAAGTGATTAGTTGTTGATGGTGAAATCCAGTGTTCTCAGTGTACCATCTGGAGTTCACTGTTGGGAGTTAACTTTGGCTAAATACTGTATAGTGTGTATACAAGGATTAGGATAGTAGTAGGAAGATAGGAAATAGGGTTTTCAGGGGGTCTGAAGCAGGCATATCTGGTATTTTAGGAGACAGTGGCAATTTTGTGCTCAGTCTTTGGTGAATCTTTTTTTTTTTTTTTTTTTTTTTTTTTTTTTTTTGTGATGCTCTGAGAATTGGAATTAATATCCAAAAATCCATCCAATTTAATTTTCTAATTCAGAAGCTAGAAAAATCATATTACAGTGAAGCAAAAGAGCCATCTAACCTATTGTTGCTTAAAAAATGTTTTATATATTCTTAGGCCCATACTGCACTTCTTAAAAAGTAGCTCAAGTACATAATTAAGCGTGGTTTAAATTCTACAACACTGATCAATGAGGAATGATGACTTGTTTTATAAGGTGTAGGTAGCATAAAACTACATGTAATGAAGTACATTTCTAAAGATTTTTAATTATTTTCTTAAGGTTTAAAATGAATTCATTAACTTATTTTTTGTGGTGCTGAGTTTCCAAGCCAGGGTGTTGCACACGGTAGACAAAGCGCTCTTCCACTGAGCTATAGCCCCAATCCTGTTTCCTTCTTAAAGGAATTTCAAAATTATACTTTTTCTGGGGTGGGGAGCAGGGAACCACGGATTGAACTCAGGCCCTTGTGCTTGCCAGGGAAGCGTTTATTTTACTGAGCTGTCTCCCCGGCCCCAAAATTCTACATTTTAATTCTTTTAAAAATCATGATTATTAGCACATACTGACAGAACAGTGTATTCCTTATTTATTTATTTATTTTTGGCGGAACCAGGGATTGAACTCAGATCCTTGCGTTTGCCAGTCAAGCGCTTATCCTACTGAGCCATCTCCCAGGCCCCCCTCCTTATATTTTTATACATGCAAATAATATACTTCCACTGCATCCATTTTCCTTTACATTACTTTAAAGAATTCTTTGTGTGTTCTGGACATTGGCCCTTTGCTGTTGAATGTATTTCAGATATTGTATCTGTTTTCTCTTAGTGTTTCTGATAATGTGTAATTCTTTGTAATGCCTCCAGACCCCTCTTCACCACTGACTCTTCCCCCTGTATCTTGTATACATGAGAGTTTTACACATAGTAAAATTCAGTGTGAAAATCATTTTTTATCTCGCATTTTCTTTGACTTCCTAAAGAAAACTTAATATATCAATTATATAGAGGGCTTGACTATATAATCTACCCGATATGGGCATGTTTCACCCTTGTGAGCAGTCCTGATCCCTTTTTGGTTTTTTTGAAGTAGTGGGATTGAGCCCAGGGCCTTTGCTCTGAGTTATATCCCTAACCCTTTTTATTTTCTGTGACTGTGTCTCACTAAGTTGCTCGGTTGGCTCAAACTTGCTGTCCTCCTGTCTCAGCCTCTCAGAGTGCTGGAGTTACCTGCATGTGTCAATGTGCCTGGCTGATCTTAAATTTTAACCTATCTCTACAGAAAACTGTGGTTTGCTTTCCCTCATAGGGCTTAGCAAAAAAAATGAAAGCAATAATCTACCTTCGACCACTATTACAAGGACTGAGGCAGTTTGTTATTTCCAAGTAAAGATATTTGTGTCAGCAGACATAGGTGTGGCATGTTGCAAGAGTGTTCAGGGTTACTCTTATCACTTCTGCACAGATGGTTGGCATTATTCCAGCTGAGATGGTCTGAGACCCTCAGTGTAAACAGGAAGAAAAATTCACAAGTTGTTATTAAAAACTTTGAAGTTCTTGTTGTGCTTCTCTGTTAGGAAATCTTTGATGCTCTTATAAGCAAAAGGTTTTGCAAATAGACTAGAAGCAGAAACCACTTTTCATTGAGAATAGCTGGACTTTAAGAAATTAAATATGGTACAATATTCATTTTTTCAAGGAGCTGTCTTGTCAGGAAAAGAAGAAAGTTAAGACAGTCTGTGACTGAGGTCCAGGATGAGTTGGATAAGGTCTCTTCTTGAGTCAAACTCACACATCAATTTAGGGAAGGCGTTTATCATTGGAATTTCCAAAGCCAGTTTGCAATGAGTGCTAACAATCTTCAAATGATATTTTGAAGACTTTACCAAATTTATAACAACTCTTATAATGGTACGTAAATACTGTAATAATGACATACCTATCCACATTTACTAGTATTTTATAAAAATTTTAACTACATAATTCTGCTGAGTCCCTCTGAGGTTTGGACCAGCTATTTTATGTTTGCTTTACATT